CTGTCCACATGGAGGATTTGATGACTGGCTTGAATAGAAAAGTGGAGTGGGCTCGGAGTGGTGCCGGGTAGGCTAGTGATGAAGCTGGTTAGGGGGTTGGGGTGTGGAGGGCTCCGGCCAGACTGCGCGGGAGCGGAAAAGAGAGTTTTTATGGTATCCGAAGACAAGTGGACCAAGGGCGTGTGATGTAGTTTACAAGAATCATGTGTGTATATTTGGTGGAGAGTGGTGTGTCATGTGCTCGAGGAAAGATGGGGCGGACTGATTCGGTTGTGATGCTTGTGTTGAGCACAAGGCCTTCTTGGACGTTGAGTGGATGCTGTTTTTAGCTGTCTTCTGCGATTCTGAATCATGTTCTCCAAATAGAGACTCTCTTGCTCCCGTAAACGCACCATCTACTGTAGAGCTGAGAGAAGTGGTATTACTACTTTGGCTAATTCGCTAGGTAAACCATCATCAGCATGCTTGGGTAATATAAAGGACCTGAGTGTCTCTAATCCCAGTCACTTATCTGCACCGTTCTAGGGCTAGGAGAATTGCAATATCTTAAACTTAGTCCCCTATGTATATCTTCTTTCTATGTCAGCCAATTATCTGAGCCTCTTACAAAAGCTAAGATATTTAATTTAAGCATGTATTAAGTGCATTATATTGCAAAGTTCTTTTAAGCAGAGAGAAGTTTTTAATATTTACATATATTATGCCGCGCCTGAAACTTTTAAAATGCTGTGAGCGTTTGCTGGTATAACCTATTTAACAACTAATACACATTACTACCCTCTACACCTCCCCTACCTGAAAAATAGCCCTATTAACACATATTCCACCTCCAAGCATACCGAAAAAAAGGCAAAAAAGGCAAAAAGAAACATAATGGTCACTACGAGGGTCGAACTCGCGACCTTGGCGTCACGTGATGACCTGTAAATTCAAGCTCTCGTATTAGCACCACGCTCTAACCAACTGAGCTAAGCGACCGGTCTTTGTATTTCGATGAAAGAAGATCCGCTGGGGAATATTATATACTCGAGTAAAATATGCGCAGATTAAAAAAACAATTAGGGAAGTTGGGAATTATGTAAAATAGAGGGGTGTAACAAGATAGGAAGGTGGGGGTGGTGTGGAAGCGGGGCATCTACAAGAGGCAAGGGTGGTGGGCAGGCGGGCAGGCGGACGGGTGAGGGTCACGGGTACTAGGTAATGGGTAAGAAAGGACCTGTGGGTTAGACAGGATAGGTTAGGTGAAGTTTGTAGACAAGGGTGTACAAGGAAGAATAGACTTGGATGTATGTAACATCTCTCTGATTACCATCTCTTTCCAACCCTACAACTAGATACAATACACTGACATGGCACTTCAGTCGTAAATCATCTCCCTCGTGATTACTTCGATATATTACAGACGCAGATATTTCCGAAAAGATGCCATATGCAATGCATCTCGCTGTGCTAAATCGCCACAACACATGTATATAACCATGGCCCCTTTGGCCTTACCAATCTTTCTGCGCGGATGCAGTAAGCGAAACAGATTTCATCGTGTCAGTCGCCGTGTCTAATGGTGCGGCAGCCCCGGCACTCGCCTGCAGCGCATCTGCCGTGTCCTTGGCTTCACTGGAGCTCTCTGTTTGCTGTGAGTGAGTGTTTAAGGCAGTGGTTTGGGCCTGCTTCTTCTTGTTCTTCTTGTTGTTCTTTTTGCCGACTTTGGTCGTCAGCTCGCCACCGCCTGCAAGCTCGCTGGGCCAATCGAAAGCCCAGCGCCCATCGCCAACAAAGGGCTCTGTACGGATAAATCTGGAAACGTCTTGTTGCTGACGGAGCACATCAAGGTAGCCAGCGACTTCGCGCAACACATCCCCGTCCATTTGTTCGGGTGTGGCTGCAAACTCGGGGATTTCGAGGAGGTTGTGCGGCTGTGCGTTTGCCTTGAGGGCCGAGTCGTCGATCAAGACGGTGTTGTCTTGACCAAAACGGCCGCCATTGTCGTAGTCGGGGTGGTGTGACTGAATGGTGGAGCGACTCCATACCAACTTCAAGTTCTTGTAGACCTGAACATTTTGGCCGTAATTTGTGGGGGAGAGGCCAAATGAGTCGCGTGCCCATTGCGCTACGAGCTGGGACCGCAAACTGTTGTCTAATGCCTGATTTACCAACGCCTTGACGTTATCAGGTCTCGCGCTCGACCAAACCATGACTTTGAAGTTCTGGAACAGGTAGCGCAGGAATGGCTTGAGGAAGGGTCGCTCAATCATCGTCTTTGAGTTTTTATTGGGTCGGAACAGGACCGTCCCGTTGAGATCCAGAATGATTAGCAGTGGACGCGGCTCACTCAGGACAGATGGTTCTCCGGCAGCCTGCGCCAAATACTCTGCAGTAGGCTGCGGTGCGGGAAGCATGATCTTGCTGTCGCCGTAGCGACCCTTTTTCTCTCCAGTTGGACCATTTTGCGCATTCGAATTTCTAGATGACTTGTCAACACAAGCACGGACAGCCTCGTGTCGCGCAACACGACACGGGAACACATACTCTTTCTGCTTGGCGTGGCTATTTGCACCAGCCCCAGATTTGGACTTTTTGGCCGAAGAAGTAGATGCTCTGGCGCGTGCGTTAGTGCGGCCTGTTCGACATTTCAATTCCTTGATCAGGTTTTCGAGCGCATACTGGTTCTTTTCCGCCCTGCCACCAAAATGAATGTTTGTTTGTCCCTGCATGGCTGCATATGGATGCCCACGATTTGGGAAAGCTTGCTGGGGCTGTGGGCCATAACCTGGCGGGGCGCCGTGCATAGGATGATAGCCAGGCGGCGGTGGTGGTGGTGGTGGTGGCGGTGGTGGCATACCATAGGGTGGTGGGCCAGGAGGACCGGGAGGACCGGGAGGACCAGGAGGGAAGCCATGGGAACCAAAGAACTGGTTCTGCTGCTGGTTCTGCTGATGATGCTGTTGCTGCTGAAAGTGAAACGGCGGCTGTTGCTGACGCTGCTGGTACTGCTGGTGCTGCATCCACTGGTAATGTTGTGCTTGTGCCTGCGCCTGCGCCTGGGCTTGGGCTGGATGATCGAAGAACGGCGGTGGGCCATAGTTATGGTTGAAGAATTGAGGCGGCAGCGGTGGGGGCGGCGGCGGTGATGGAGGCGGCGGTCCTGAAGGAGGCGGCGGCGGCGGCGCAAATTTATTCTCCCAGGGCGCAAAGTTGTGCTCCCATGGCGCAGAGTTACGCTCCCAGTGTGGAATGCCATGGCCCCGTGGGAAAGGGGGCTGCGGTGGAGAGGATGGGAAGTGCGGTGGTGCAGGGCCGTGATTCTCGAAGCCAGGGTAGAAATTTTGCTCGCGACGGCCGCCATTGGGGTTGACGGGGTTGACGGGGTTGACGGGGTTGCTGCCACCGCCAGGCCGAAAGGGCAAGGCTGTCGGATTCCAGCCCTCGTTCATATCGGCGGCGGTGGGCTGCACGTCGCAGGGCCGGGCAGGCGAAATGCTGTCGCGTCGACCGTCGGTGGTCTTTGTCGGGGGTTGTTAGTGCTAGAAAGTTTGGGGGGAGAGCAATCGTCGTGGGGGGGGGGGATCTTGTACCGAGCAGAGGCGACTGGAGCCATGAAGCAAACGAGATAGTGAGATGCGACTGGCGGCAAGTCGGGCAGGTGCGGTGAGGGTGAGGGTGAGGAGGGGCTGGGACTGTGCAAAGGGCATATAATCGTCTGCCGTCGTTGTTGTTGTCGTCGTCGCCGTTCGTCGTCGACTCGTTGTGACTGTTTGGCGGTTGCTGGCCTGGCCCGGAATTGAGATTGTGCTGCCGTGGCCAAATAAGGTAAAGCGCGGCAACAAGTGGGGAGTCCCGCCAAAAAAAAGTTGCTGGACACTACCAAACAGTGGACAGTGAACAGACACTAACTTACTCGGCTGCCGTCCTCCATCACCTCACACAACATTCACCCTCGCAAGGGACAACGAGACAGCCTCGTTTGACCCCATTTGCTCCCTGCACAAACAACAAACAATGCCGCTCTCCACCCAGCTTGACCGCAAGCTACAAGCGGCCATTGACAGTTCAGATGATGAAGAGTACTACGAGGTCTCGGACCGGTCCTCCGAGTCCTTTCTGGAGACGGGCGAAGGCGGTGAGGTCATGAGTTCAGACACCGGCGAAGGTGCAAGCTCGGAAATGGGCGAGCAAGTGAGTAAAGTTTTTGCCTCCCTGCACAATACTCACTACACCAACGTTGCATTGCTAACGAGCACAAGCCAGACGCTTCGGATGATGACGATGACGACCAAGCCAAGGCACAAATCAGCAAAATATCCTTTGGCGCTCTAGCTAAAGCACAGGACGCTCTTTCGAAGGAACAGTCTACAGACCGAAAGCGCAAGCGCGGCGATGAAAGTTCCAAATCACAAGAAGACAAGTTAGAGGCATTGAGGGCAAGGCTGCGACAGATCAAGGCAGAGAAACTGGCAACTGCGCCGCCAGCAAAAAAGTCCAAGACCTCGGCAACAGAGAGCAAAGCAAGCCGCAAAGAGGGCGACGACCACCACCAGGACCATGAGAGTGCATCTTCCGGCTCAGATTCAGAAGCGCAGCCGAAAGCGCGGTCCAGCAAACATGCTCCTGCAGTCCAATCCAGCAAGCGTATGGTGTCGCGAAAGCGCCAAGTCGTCGACGTGAAGAAGCCGGTTTTTCGAGATCCGCGATTTGACCCAGTGGCCGGTCCACCGCCAGACGAGCACACCTTTGGCAAGCGATATTCTTTCTTGAATGATTATCGCGCATCGGAGATTGCAGAACTAAAGAGCACAATCAAGAAGACCAAGAATGAAAACGAAAGGGAGCGGCTCAAGAAGCAGCTCGTCTCCATGGAGTCGCAACAAAAGGCTCGAGAAAACAAAGAGAAGCAGCAGAATGTGATTCGGGAACATAAGCAGAAGGAAAAGGAATTGGTCAAGGACGGCAAGAAGCCTTTCTTCCTGAAGAAGTGTATGTCCACCTCTACTGCGTTGCCCCACGGTGTACTAATTACAGCATGTAGCCGAGCAAAAGAAGATGGTTTTGATCGACCGCTTCCAGAATATGAAATCGAAGCAGCGCGAGCATGTCATCGAGCGCCGCCGCAAGAAGGTTACTGCAAAGGAACGACGAAACATGCCCGACGACCGTCGCACGGCGTGATCACAGCGCTGACAGCCTGTGGACGCCTAACCAGACAGTACTTGTTACCCGTAGATACCCACGTACAATATCAGCCATTCCGAGGAATGACAGCATTCTCTCGTTGCAGGCGGCTATTACGGTACAACATCCCGAATTCGTCTTCGCTTCTCGCCATGTTGAGACACGTGAATCTCTCCCAATATCATTTCAGCTCGCGAGTGCCACTCTCAGCGTGCCTGCTCATCTTCCTCACCCCTTTACGGCCCGGTCCAGCCCATCTGGAATCGAAATGACAGCAGAACGCCAAATCGTATCCGGATTACAAAATCGCATGCACGTTGAATCCTGATCTCCAAGATCCTTGATATGTGGACGAACTAGGCGGGGATCTTGCAGGACGGGACAGGGGTGTTATACAAGGAAATGTGCCGCTGCCACCGCTCCACTTTGTCAATATCTACGTCATGTTTTGAGCAACTTGTCCCAGCCTCCTGCCCAGGGCCGTCTGGTCTTAAAGTTGGCACTGCCACACCTTGAAGCAGATTGCATTTCTGGTTCTACCTTTCTCGACTCGTGAGCTTGTTCGAGTTTTGATACTTTTGCCACACTACAAGTCTAGTCGCGTGTGCCTTGCCTCTAGCGAGCCGACCGTTAAATACCGCCGCACCCAAATACCATTCGATCGGGTAACCACGTTACCTAGTCCTAGTTGAACCAAGTCGCAACGGTTGGTCGACTCGCCCATCGTCATGTCGAACGTACAGGACAAGCCGCTCAATGAGTATGTTGATACGCCTTTATGATGACAGCACTCTGTGATTGCCCTTTGCTTCGACATCATCTTCTCATTTTGATACATGCCACCATCACCTCAACACCACCTAACGTACAATGAAGGCTCCTCTCCCGCTCCATGGTCGACATCTACATCGGCCCTGAAAATACGCACTGGATCCTGCACGAAAAGCTACTCTGCCACCACTCGCCCTTTTTCCGCAAAATCTTCTACTCCAAGACCTCGTCACACTCCTCGACGCAATCCTTTGGCCTTCCCGACGAAGAAGACACGCCCTTCAAAACGTTTGTCGGTTGGCTGTACAGCGCCTCCCTCCCCGTGCCGCGCGAAGAAGCCGACCTAGGCACCCTCTTCGACCTCTATCTCATGGCGGAAAAGTTCCAGATCCCAGCCCTCGTCGCCGACGTGCTGCAGGTTGTGCGCGAGTGGTACAAGTACAGCGACACGTATCCCGGCTTGCGGCGCGTGCAGTACATTTATGCAAACACGGAGGAGACGAGCCCGATGCGGTGTATGCTCGTCCACAGCGTGGCGCGGCTCATGGTATTGGAGAAGGGGATCCCGGCGCATTGGGACAAGGCGCTGCGGAAGAACGGGCAGTTGGCCGTGGATATCATCCGTGCGATTCAGGAGTGGAGGTTGGAGGAGGAGGTTGTGCCTGATGCGCGGGAGGACCCGGAGCAGGGCGAGGAGTTGGTGGATGTCGAGGGCGAGACGGACAGGTTGGATCATGAGGCTGAGATGGAGATTGAGGGACGTGGTGGGGGGGAGGAGCAGGAGGAGGAAGAGCAGGAGGCGGCGGAGCAACACCGGGACGACGCAGATGATAGTGAAGTCACCGTGGTTGATAGTCCTATTGGCGATGAAAACAGCAAGAGCAAGAGCAAGAGCAAGAGCAAGAACCTGTCGTCGGACAAGAACGCTTCTTCGGGGCCGACATCAAGGCCGGATGCAAGGGAGACCGAGCAGAAGCATGCCCATCTCGGCAAGAAGTTTGAGCAGTTTAGCCTCGAGGAGATTCCGAATGGGATTCAAGGCGGTGACTTTGGCACGTTGGCGTAGGTGACGTGTCTTTCAAGGGTGCGGGTGTGGTTAGGTATGGGGTTTGGGGGTAGGTGACCATGTTGCTTGCACGGTCTCAACTTCTCTTCTTTCCGTCTATCAAAAAAGGGTGTGTTTAGGCAGTGTGTTTGATTTCTCGAGTGGAAGAGTTTGCGAATGGGCTTTGTATATTGGTTTTTTAATCCATTTTTGAAGTGGATGGATTGGCGAATTGTTGGGTGGAGTGGTGTTGGGTTGAAGTTGGAGTTTAATTTGGGTTTGGAGATTGTGATCTGTATTCTTACTTTTGTGGTTTATAATTAGTAGCCAGACAGGTTATCATATACTCTCTTCTCCTTGTCATCGGTACCACTCTCACCATCTAGTGTGGAACGACAAGAGTTTGTTGGTGGTGGTGTGCATACATACAGTCATGGCGAATCAGCGTATGCAAGTGGGGGTTGGTAAGCAAGGTACTCTGGGTGGTAAGTAGAATGCAGCCTGGCATGTCAAAGGAGCATTTCTCTTCTCGTCTCATCCTGGTTCGGTTGATTGTAGTTGGATGTGTCTAGCGAACAGCACATGCAGGACGAGTGTGGTGCAAAGTGTTACGGTTACAACGTGCAAGTAGAGTAGGCCTCGTTCGCTCTCTACACCCTCACCCTCACCCCCGCCCACGGTCTCGTTCAAGACACAGGCAGCAACGCAGACAGACGGCAGATTGCCCAAAAAGAGAGGGTGCGCATAATCAAGACGACCGGGTTAGGAAAGGGGGAGGTGATTGCCATTTTCCGCTTCGGGGCCTTGTCGCACCTACTATGCGCCGGGTTGTCAGATGCGAGGCGCGGGGGGATATTGGGTGCTGTTGTACCATGTTGGGGTGTATGGTGATCGGAGAGGAGCGGTCAATTTGCATCCGTATAAAGCTTTAC